ATGTATGAATGGTTGAAGTAGCACAAAAATTGTGGAAAAAGAAAAGTGCCGAAAAACGTACGGAAGAAAAAAAGATCTCAATTGTGTGAATGTATGGCATTCACACAATAATCATATTTTTAAACTCTCTTAATCAAATATTGTCTATCTGTACACTGATGTTGTTAAAATCACTTATTGATGTAGTTTTATTCATACATTTAGAGGGCAAACTCACCAATATTTGTGTGAATAAACTGCTTGTGCAAAAAAAAAACTAATAATAATCAGATTTTTAAACTCTCACAAAGGGAGACGTGTGCTTCAAACTGTGCTGCCAATCAAACATGAATTGTCTACATGGTGACTTATTTAAAATCTCATTAAATCATGTTTTATTTATGCATTTAAAAGGCAGACTCATATAATAATGTAAACACAATCCATGGAAAAAGAAATCTGATATTTTTTTAGCTCTCACAAAGGGAGACGTGTGCTTCAAACTGCTCTGCCACACCCTGATGCAGTTAAAATCTCATTTTAAATGAGGTTTTAATCATGCATTTAAAGGACACGCTATCATAAATTAATGTAAATTCATTCCAGGGACAAAAATAATCTTATTTAAGATGAAGCGTTTCAACAAAGAACCCATCCAGAGAACCTGACTCAACCTTGTTAGATTTTTCTACCTGTTATTATTGTGTTATTAGCAAAGTTTGTACATTTAAACTGATAAAAGATGGGGTCACACCTTTTTTAATAGTCAAAAGATTTAGGGTGAACTTTACTGTCCAAGCAGCGATTGTTCATGTGATCATCATGTGATCATCATGTGATCATCATGTGATCATCATGTCAACAGTGAAAGCGTGAAGTTTGTGATTCTGCTGCTTCGGTTTCAATAAAACAAACTGACGACCTGAGAGAGGCAGCCCATCATCATACTGGGATCGAGATGACGAGGATGATGATGATGGTGGTTCCCTCTGATTGGCGGAGCAGATCTGACTCAGCACAGTGCTGCCACACACACACACACACACACACACACACACACACACACACACACACACACAC